TGGTCCACGACAGGCCGTCGGCTCAGAGGCTGCGCGAGCTCAGAGCAGGGAACAAGGCGCCGCTGGTGCCGGTGGCCCCCAGGTGGCCCTGTGCTCCAGTGAGAGAGGAGGAAGCGCTGTGCCCGGGGCCGCCTTGGGGGACTTCGCTGTGTCCGGGGAATGTGAGGCCTGCGGCCAGGACGGCGGTGGGCGGCAGGGAGGCGATGCGCATGCGCCGGGCTCACGTCCCACCTGCTCAGGTCGCGCCCCGGGGCCTGGGCGTCCGGCCTGCTGTGCGCAGGGGTCCGGCAAAGCGGCGGCAGCGCTGGCCAGGCGGCTCGGTCACACAGGGTCGTGTGCAGGGCTCGGCGGAGATGCCAACAGGAGACCCGAGGGCCTTGGCGTCGGAGAAGCGGGAGGAGCCCCAGGTAGGATGAGTGCCAGACCCCTTTGTGTGTGCGGTAAAAATCATGGCGTAAACGTACCCTGTGAAGTGTCTGAGCGGAAGAACAGCATCGTTGATCACATGCACAGCGTTAGAAAGAGTCCAGATGCCTTCATCTCGCATGACTTAAATTCTGAACCCCCAGCCCCCGGCAGTCACGTGACCCTCTGCGTCTAGGCTCTCGTTACTGTAGGTGCCTCCTGGAAGTGGAGTCGATCGTGTTTGTGCTGTGTGTGTGTCCGTGGTGACCGGCTTATTTCATTGAGCGTAATGTCTTCAGGCTCCCCATGTTATAGCCTGTGTCAGACTGTCCTTCCTGGCTGAAGAATATTCCACCGTGTATGTGCACCGCAGCTCGTTTATCCGTTTGTCTCTGGATGGACATTAAGTTGCTTCCAGCTCTTGGCAGTTGTGACTAGTGCCACCACCACAAACGTGGTGTCAAGACTCTTGGAAAAACTCATGGCATCTGTCGGAGCCAGCGCTGTCGCGGTTAGTGCTGAAATCAGCTGGAATCAGTTGGCATCGGCACGTGCTGAGTATCTCACGTTTTTTGACCGTGGCCCACAAAAAAGAAAGGACAGTTTGTATCACAACTCAGGACATACACACTGTTGTGGTCTAAAGTATTTGTGTCCCTCCGCAAAATTTATATGTTCAAATCCTAACCCCAAAGGAGATGACGTGGGGCCGGCGGAACTTAACTCATAGATTGGAGCCCTCACGAATGAGATCAATGCCTATAAACGAGGCCCCAGAGTGATCTCTAGCCCCTTCTACCAAGTGAGGACGCTGTGAAAAGGCACCGGCTATGATCCAGCTATTCCACTTCTGGGTGTTTATCCAAAGAAAATGAAAAAAATTAATTCAAAAAGATGTATACACCCCTGTGCTCATTGCAGCATTTTCACAATAACTGAGATATGAAAACAACTTAAATGTCCATCAAATGGATGTATAAAAAAGATGTGGTCTGTTATTCAATGGCATATTGTTCAGCCATAAAAAAAGAATGAAATCTTGCCATTTGCAGCAACATGGATGGAACTCGAGGGCATTATGCTAAGTGAAATGAGTCAGGCAGAGAAAGATAAATATTGTTCGATCTCACTGGACTCTAAAAAGAAAGAGTAAACAAGCTCACAAATACAGAGAACAGGTCATTGGTTGCCAGAGGTTGGGGCTGGGAGGGGGTAAAATGGGTCAAAGGGGTCAAAAGATACAAACTTCCAGTTCTAAAATAAGTCAGTCCTGGGGTTGCAACGCACGGCATAGTGATTATAGTTAATAACACTGCATATTTGAAAGTTGCTGAGAGAGTAGGTTTTCAAAGTTCTCATCACATACAGAAAAAATTCAGTAACTATGTGGCGATGGACGTTAACTAGACTTACTGTGTCGATCATTTCGCAATGTATACAAATATCGAATCATTACGTTGTACACCTGAAACTAATATAAAAAAAAGCTATCTGTCCTTACAGTACGAACACTGCAAAAAATGTATTCAAAACATTGGGTTAGGCCAATGTACAGAGTCCCCTAAGTGGTTGAGCAGACTAATGAGTTAAATTTACAGGCTGAAATTATACAGAGGAACTGTCCGATTCCCAGGTGGGTTGCGCAGTTGCATCCAGCTGTTACAGTGTGTTTGTGATGAGGGGAGAAACAACTGAGAAGAGTCGCCAATTTGACGTGGGCCACCTGTCGTCTGTCTGCTCTCAAAGTGTTTTCTTACTCTGTGGACCGCCTCCCGGGTGATCACAGCGACAGAAGAGAGCCCGTAGTTAGGGCTGGAGAAAACACCGAAGTAACTATTTAACTGCTCTGAATTCCTTCAAAAACTCAGCATCGTTCCGTGACGCTTCCTTTCTCCGTCTACCCGCTGGGCCCGGCAACCCCAGTTCTAGGCATAAACCAGAAGGAAACTGCGCTCGTGCACGTGGCGGCAGCACGAGGGTGTAAGGGTAGACAGTGGCGGGGAAAAGCCGAGGCACCTCAAGGAGGCAGCTCAGCCAGGGCTGAGGATGAAGACCCTGACGTGACGTCATCCGGGGCTGAATCCCGATTCCACCGTTACTAGCTCTGTGACCTTGAATGGGCTACTTGACTTCTCTGTGTCTCAGTGTCCTGTCTTTAAAATCGGGTGATGTTTATGAGGATACGTGAATAAGAATTTATGTGCCTGCCTGTCCATCAGTGGAGAAACGCAAAGATGAACTGTGACGTAGTCATCCAGCGACCTGGTCTCACACTGAACGGCAGTGGAAATGAATGCATTAGATCTACAGATGGCAGGCAAGACATGTTTTTGGAACTATAATATTGAGTGAGAAGAGCAAGTCGTAGGATGATATATAAAATATGCTATTTAGGTAAGTTTGAAAAACAGAATAATACTACATATTTTGATGGACACACACACACACACACACACACACACACACACACACACACAGTTAAAGTATAAACACCTAGGCCAGAGGCTATTCCCGAAGTTCACCATGCTGGGTGACTGACGAGAGGGAAGAGAGGGAACAGAACTTGGGAGGGGACGAAGAACACTCCAGCTGGGCTACCAGCGATGCCAGCGTCCCCAGGGACAGAGGCTTTCCCACTGTGCAGGCCGAGCCCTGGGCTGCTTTTGGAGGTGCCCCTGACCAAGTGCTCTGCCTCTCTCTGTACATATTTGCAAGCCAGTCAGGGCCCCACCCACCCCCAAACCGCCGCCTTAGTGTGGCAGGCACTGTTTCTCTTTGTCACCGTTAAACCCCACGGCCAGCCTCAGCGTCCGGCTCTGAACCCGGTACTTAATCATTCGTCGAATTAAATTTCAAACCAGGAAATTTTAGTAACACGTTGGAACGATTTGAATGTCAAGACATTTATAAACTGGTAATATAGTGAGGTCAGGATGATCATCTCTCCTACAGCGCGAGAAAAGCCGCGAGTTAGCTATGGGATTCTGGACGGTGAAGGGTGTCTTCGCATCATGGATTTGCAGCCATTCCAGGGACGTGGAGTGAAGCGTTGAGTACTGGGGGGCAAAGGTAACAGAGGTTCGAGCAGGTCGATTCCACACCACAAATGCGTCATCACTGCGATTCTGAACCCCAAACGCATCATCTGCTATACTTGAGGACAGGCGATCGGGGTCCCTTCTGAAGTCACACATTCAAATAGCTCGCTCCCAGCCCAACCTCCTGTCCTTCTATCTTGCCGCTCACTTACAGCCATACTCCTCCCTCTTCCTCCTCTTGAGGCCTCCGGCACCCAGGTCCCTCACTTCCTCCTGCTCGCCCAGGCCTTTCTTCCCCTCATTTTTCTCCCTCATCGTTAGTCTGGTAGCCATCGCTTCAGCCCCCCTCTTCCGACTTCCTAGGTTCCCTTCCCCTACTTTCTTTGAGCCCATCTGGCAGAACCCCCACCCTGGGTAAATCCATCTGCTAATCTTGTTGTCCCCTTCATCCTCAGCCCGCTGAGCTCTGACGTGACGTGGAAATTTCTCTGATGCGATGCTAGCCTCCCAGGCTTCTGCCTCGGGTAGCGACCGTCCCTTCTGCAAGGGCCTCAGAACATTCGCAAGGTAGAGCCACCCCCACCGACACGCAGTCGACAGCGGTCACCCTGGCCTCCTCGCAGGTGCCTGAGCACGAGCACCGAGTCGTGGACGCAGGCAGCCTTCCACTCCTCCGTGCCTCTGGCCTCCGAGAAGAACGCACGCTCGCGTGGCCTGAGCACCTGCCAGTGCCGCATATTTTCACACACGATATTAGATTTAATTTTTTCAAAAATCCTACGTGGCAGTCGTTATTTTTCACATTCTACAGACAAGGAAACGGAGGCTCAGAGAGATTAAGTAGCATGTCCAGAGTCATAATTTTAGTAAGCGACAGAGTTAGGGTTCCACACCAGGCCTTCTGACTTCCTGAGAAACACGACTTCACTGCTGAACACGTTATAAAAATGAGACGAGGTCGCTGGGGTACCTGAGTGCCATCTCCACAGAAGACAATCACGGGCTTTGTCCCTTAACACTAGTTCGTCAGGGGAAAGAGAGAGTCACCTCATCATACAGAAGCCAGAAGGAAACTGATTAATCGTGTGTAAGAATGAGATCTGGCATCGAGAGCATAGAAGAAACTCACCCCAATACTTAGATTAATATGGATAATGAGCCCTATGCATAATTAGTTATTTAGAATCACCCTTTTATCTTTGAAGATCAAAGTGTCGTCCCGTCCTCTGACTCAGAATGGCTCTGAGGTATTCTTGCCGAACGAACGTCATGTCACTTTGGAAACCTAATGCCATCCTGTCTCTAGCGTTTGAAATTAATGGACCGGTCGGGGAGGGGAGGGCAGGGCCGGCTCTCCGCCTGCGGCGCACACCGAGCGTTTGTTTCTGGGATTTTACACCTCGGGCCGTGAGGTCGGGGAGAAGGACCAGGGGACACTAATCTCGTTATGCGTGACGTGGCCGAAAGGAAAACTGAGGCTCGGACCTTCAGATGAGCACAGCGGAGAGGCCTGGAATTTTTAAATAAAAGGGATTTAATACGTACTCGGAGTTGGACCGGATCGATGGAAGACAGTTAAGCATTCACGAAAAAGAGACCACATTTTCCTTAGGTTTTTCAAACGTGCTCATGAGGACGATGTATGTGTTTTAGGCTTTTCTTTCTTTTTTTTCTTTTACGTTACCTTATGGAGCCCGACGGCCAGGCACAGTGTGGAGCACCTGCCTCGCCCACGTCGCGGAGCAGGTGGCCTTCGTGGTGCGTGGCGGGACCGCCGCGCTGCCGTCTCGGGCGGAGATGCTGCGGCTTCTTCCAGCGCAGCCCTTCGCTCCGCAGCTCCGCCTTGATTCCTGCTCCGCGGAGCCTGCGCTGGCCTCGGCTGTCACCTACATCCCCTGCCAGGCACCTTTATTTAATCAGCCCCGGGGCACGACCCAAATGGGCCCTTGTCCGTCCCCGCTGAG